ATAACCCATTCCCTCTCTCTGTCACGCCTTTCTCTTTCTCTTTGAAGTTGTCATTAAATCTTCTTGCTTTTGTCTTCCCAAATCGAAAGAGACTTAAAATTGTAAACAAAAGAATGTGAAATCTGACTTTCACCATCAACTCACAAAAAATCTAGATTTAATTTGGGGACTTGCAATAATTTTTTTTTGTTTTTATAATAAATCACAAAGATGTATATCCTATAGATGAAAAACATGTATCACGTGTATTAGCTATTTCTTCGATCTTGAATCTTTTCTTTTTCTCGGATTATTCTTCATCAGTTTTGTGTATCTTATGCACATGTATATCTGTGTATTTGTGTTAAAAGTTAATACATGTATTTTATGTATTTGCGTTTGATTGATGATTGATACGTATGTGTATTTATATTTTTGTTTAAAGCTAATATAGGTATCTATGTATTTGAGCTACAATCTTATATAAGGTTATATCTATGATACAATCTGCACGGAGCATCTCTCCTTTCTCTTTTCATACCCTAAGCTTGCTTTTCTTCTCTTTAAAATCGTTGCTATGCATCGTAATTAATCAAATTATAACTAATATTCATAATTATTATACAAACTATCCTTATTTATGAAATTTCTTTCTTCTTAAAAACCAAAAATGACAAAAAGGAGAATGTGTAAATACATACAGATGTGTGTGGGGTGGGGGTGTGTAGAGAGACGAGAAAGGCAGAAAAGAGAGAGAGACGAGCAAGACTGAAAAAAGAGAGAATAAAGATGTTTAATGAAATTTAGTTATACTATATTAAATGTAGTTATTTAAAAAATAAATAAATAAAATATATATATATTAAATCTTTTAAATTAAAACTAACACATTCTATGACAAACTATGTGTGGTCTCATAATTAATTAATCTCGTGAACATTAAAAAATCGGTACCAAATAATATCCTCTATCTAATAATGTCTAATGATGCTTACCAATCCAAACAGGCCAAATGATAAAAGAAATGGATCTTAGATCCACAGTGTAATTAAGATTTTGCGTGATAATATAATGCAGAGAAATGAACAACCAACCTAATTAAATGACTTGCTCCAAACGAGCCGAAGTCAAAATTTTAATTTTTTTTAAAATCAATAACAAATTGCATATATATTTGTTAAAAACACAAATAGGCTGTTTGAACAAAACCTAGTGAATTGGGGCTAGGTCCGTCTAGTCCTCTATCATTGTATGACACCAGCATGACCACTTATTTTACCCCATTTGATGTCTACTCTTCTTATCTATTTATAGTACTATACTACATACTTTTCCTCAATAAAACTAGACACAAGTTTGAATTAAACCCTTAAAAGATAAACATCAAGAATTTTTTTTGTTAGTCACACACACACACACACAAAAGAAGAAAAATGGCAAGAGCTAGGTGGAAACCAACACCACAACAGCTTATGATTTTACAAGATATGTACAAAAAAGGTCTGACAAATCCAAATTCATGTCAAGTACAAATGATTACTTCCCATCTTTCTATGTATGGAAAGATACAATGGAAGAATGTGTTCTATTGGTTCCAAAACCACAAAGCAAGAGACAGGCAAAAAATGAGAAAACAACAAAAGCAAAACCCTTCTTCATCTTCTTATGCTTCTGGACCTGTCAATTCTCAACTTCACCCTAACTCTCCAACTATATTTCTTCATCAGGTACAATATTAGTGAGTTTTTCTAGCATTGTGCACCTATACTTTCAGTGTTTTAATTTGATTGTGATGTCCATGCACGTACATGCAAAATTAAATATACTGCTATGAGGATGACGTATATGTCTAGAGATTTGAATTTTATCATCACGTTAATAGTTTAACTTACTTCAAACACATTAGTGAATTTTCTTGAGTTGAGAGTCTATCAGAACAGCTAGCGTCTCCACATCATAAAAGTAGGGTAAGGTCTATGTGTGACATCCTCTCTAGGTCCAACTCATGAGATTATCAATATTTAATTAATGGATTTATACATATACAAGGTTTGAGCTAGAGTTTATGTGACGGAGTAAAAATATATATTGTCGCATATAAATTTGGACGAAGGGAGTATTATAGATAGATTTGCCTCAGTTTATTACTTAATCATAGTAAATCTACTTGGTTTAGTATAAATACCAGGTGTAAGTTTCCTCCTCTCTTACAACTATATCATCCTAATATATTCCCAACAATTATATTACTACCTCCCTACGAATTTATATAGTGATATTAGACTACACACATAGTTTAAAAAGAAAAAAATTATGTACTTCCAATGATTGTGATCTTATGTTTTTTTTAAAAAAAATTTTGTGGTCCTTTATGTTAGGTAGAAGGAACCAATGCATCACCTCATGAAATGATGAAGTACCTATGGAAGAATGGAATGATGAGAAACAACGGTATGGATTGGATGTTGATGACAGATGAAGAAGGTTCATCTAATAATAATATTGTCCATTGCAACAATAACAGACCTCTAAAAACATTACAACTTTTCCCTGTCACAACAACTGGCTTCAAGGATTATTAGAATTTACTTTATATATCAATAATAATTAAGTACTAGTACCACTACATCAAAAAAAAAAAAATAACTTTAACCGCAATAGCTATCGACAACTAGTATTCTTTGTATATGTTCCTAAAGTCTTTAGCGACATTGGATCTAACGACACTTAACTAATGCCGATGAAGACTTTAGGCACACTTTATTAATGTGTCTATTTATTATCGCTAAAAGTTATTTTTGTTGTAGTGTACTATACATTATTTGAAGATTGTACTTCAATTTGATTCTAATATATTTACCTCTAAAAGCTTTTATGATGTTATGTGAGTTAAAAACATCTTATCCTTCTAACTTTCTAATACTTGTACGTGTTCATATATTTATATGTATGCTTGGTTAATTTGTTTGATTTAGCGCACCGATATTAGCTAATTCTGATATCATGTAAAAATATTATTGGCAGGGCTAACGTATAACTCTAAAAGATAGACCCATAAAAGAGAGGACAATGAGATATCATTAATTTGTAGGGCTAATGTTAACTCTAAAAGATAGACACATAAAAGAGAGGATTGTCTGATATCATTAAAAAAACACCAACTTATATCATCAACCAATATGTGGTCCTAAATAACAATTTCTACAAATGAGAACACTTGAAATAAATTCTCTGGTCCATTTCAATTATTGTGCTTATTAATAATATATAATCCAAACGACTCAGTCGTTCAGTTTTCTGTTTGTTTATTATATTAAAAATATTTTTTATTTTTATTTGTCTATTTTAGTATATTATTAGAAAGATTAAAAAAAATTCAATTGTACTCTCGACATTAATTACTGATCCTAAATCATTTGTTTTAAGTTAATTAATATATGTATCATAACAAAGTATGCACCTAATTTATTTTTTCTTAAGGGTATGCAAAGTCCATCACAAGCATAATTGTCATATAATAAGTGATATTTTGGCTTTTGGTACACACCTTTAAAACATGTGTAAATAAAAGAATTTTCAAAATTAATGGGACTAACTACCCTTCACAGAAAACTTGAAGTAATTGAAAGACTTTTTAAGTTTACGTAAAAAAGGAAGAATTTGGAAAATAAGAGTTAATTCCTCTTTGATTATACAAATAGATACGTATTTAATTTTGGATCAAAACAAATATGGCCGAAACTAAAGGTTATTCTATTTATTGTTGACCTAAGGAAGTGTTAAACTAAGATTAAGAATTGTTAGATAAAAATTACTATTTTAATATTGTTTTTTCAGAATACGTGCGAAAAGAATATGATAAATAAATTAAATAGAGTATAAAATAAAAATTTCATCGACAAGTCAGGTTGTCTAGCAGCAAAGCACTTTCAGACTCAACGACAGCCAATTGGTCAAAATGTAAAAAGAAAGTAGAAACAATTTAGTTGATAACTTGATTTTAACTATTTTTATTTATATTCATAAATTTAAAGAATTAAATACATGTGTATTTCATAAAAATATTATTATTTAATAATGTTAACTGATATATACTTTCATTTTAAGTTTTAACTACTATGATTAAATTGTTTTATTTCGATATCGTATGCTAGTAAGTATCTGTCACATGTAGTTGTAGACATAATTAAATACTATTGTTGATACATAGCCATTAACATTTATAGCAATATCTGTTTGTATCATATTAATATTTATGTATATGATACATAACTTTGTTAACTATACAACATAATTATGTATCAGATGTTGCAATACATCAAAGGTTGTTAAGTATCTATAACACTGTTTTATAAATAAAAAAGTGTATATCATATTCATAGTTTTTTTTATATTGACACATAATCATATTAAATTGTCTTTTTATTTAAATCTATTACGATTTGGATGAGAATTAAATACATGTGTATTTCATAAAAATATTATTATTTAATAATGTTAACTGATATATACTTTCATTTTAAGTTTTAACTACTATGATTAAATTGTTTTATTTCGATATCGTATGCTAGTAAGTATCTGTCACATGTAGTTGTAGACATAATTAAATACTATTGTTGATACATAGCCATTAACATTTATAGCAATATCTGTTTGTATCATATTAATATTTATGTATATGATACATAACTTTGTTAACTATACAACATAATTATGTATCAGATGTTGCAATACATCAAAGGTTGTTAAGTATCTATAACACTGTTTTATAAATAAAAAAGTGTATATCATATTCATAGTTTTTTTTATATTGACACATAATCATATTAAATTGTCTTTTTATTTAAATCTATTACGATTTGGAGGATGTTGTTTGGAAGAGATTGACATCAATTAGATTTGTATGATTTGGAGAACTACATTTAGTTTTATAATTATTTATTTAAACTCAACAAGCAACATATATATTTCAGTTGCAAAACAATTCCAAAAATTTCTCATAGTACATACTCCTTATATATATCAAGCAACATATATATTTCAGTAGAATTGCAACAATTTATACAAGAAATTATTAGAATTCACAACTCAGTGAAGACTCAAACCTCTCTCTCTCTATATATATTATATGTATATCTAGAAATTTTCTTTGTGGAAATTGAAACGAGTGGATGAATTTAAACTAAATTCTTGACACAGCCTTCTAAGTGGTTTTGTAAGAGTAGGACTTCCGCAGTAAAATACCCCTGCAATTGATATATCATTTATTTATTATAAAAATATATGATAATTGAGCGTAACTCAACTTTAAAAATTAGTTAAAATTGACACATTCGTTTATAAGGCTTACCAATTCGAGAAGATGGATGGGCTGCTGCCAACCTAGAGAATACCTTTCTCCAATTTGGTCTTGCAAAATGTGTTCTTATCTGTTACAATGTAAGTGTTAAAATCAAGAATTTAAGTTATATATACTGACGTTTGTAACCTTACGTGTAAAAATTCATAAAATTGCGAAAAATAGGATATATATACCCGACTATCAGAGACAACATCAACTCCATTTTTAGCATGTTGTAGTGATTGCACCATTGCAATAAGTGCAGATCTAGCATCTCCTTCTTCATAAACACTAGTCAAATAGTTGTGCATTTCCATCATTTCCTGTATAATATATACAAGTTATAATATATTTATATATGTTTTTAAGTTAATGTTTAAATTGAAATTTAATCAAACTCACATTATGGTCATATTCAGCAATATCATCCATAACACCCTTGAACCAATCAAATGATCCTTGTTCTCTTGTCACCCAATAGAAATATGCTCTGTCAGGACCTCTCCTATTACTTGATAATTCACCATTCTGCAGTTATTAGATTTTGTTATGTTTTTATTTTCACTGATAATATAGAAGAATTTTTATATCAGGTAACTATTACGAGTGTATATAATTTAAATCGTTAGCATTTGAGATTAGGTACTTACAGATTGAGATTCATTGTTAAGAAGGTCCTTTAAAATGCTGATAAATGGTGTTGCTCCTATTCCCAAGCCAATTAGTAGAAGGATATCATATTTCTTGTAGTTTTGAGCTGGTGCTCCATAAGGTCCTTTGATCATGATCTTTGGAAATCTGCAACGAAAATATAAAGAGTAAATATAAGTTCTGTTATGGTTCATGAACATGAAAATCAGTAAACATAGAACAACATGGAAACGTACTCGGATTGAGCCTGTTCAACATCTGAATATGCTTTAGTTTCCATTCTTACAAGACTTCCCTTCCTTGATTGTGCTACTTGATCAGGCTCACAAGCCTGCTAAAGGTGAGAGAGCTTATTAAAAATCCGAAAAATTAAGTAGAAGAAAGAAGGGGAGTCTTAGTAGAGCTCAGCTTGTTGGCTACCTGAATTATATAGAGTTTCAAAAGATTAGTGATATGAATGGATCACCAATTTTTGTCAGTTTTAACGCATCTGACTTCTAGAACTCATTGAATAGAAAATGTAAGTGATCTAGAAACACGAATTTTAACAAATCTATCACCTTCTCAAATCTGGTTTTTAGCTCTGTAGTCCAGTCTCCCAATGTACGTATATGAACACTTAGATAGTTGTCGTCTGGTGCTGAAGTGATTGAGAATGGATGCCTGTAAAAATTAATAAAGTTCCTTAGCGCAAATAGACGTTCAGATCTTTAAATGATCATTGTATAGTTTTCATTTACCATTCGAAGGTTGAAATATCAGGACATTTAACAAAAAGGTACATTCCACTCTTATACTTGAATCCTGGAGGTTTACTCATGTATAATGCTAGTACATTCCCTGTATATGTGACGGCCTGCGATATTTTAGCATCAAGTCAAAAGCTAAATTCAGAGAGATTTTTCAATTGACATAAAGCTTGTTTGAAGCTAAAACCTTTATGATATTGACATTGTAGCTGTGTTCGTAGACGATGAGAGTTCTTTCCGTAGCATATGCAAGTACCGGAACTGCAAGATACATCCATGTCTGCATAACAAAGATATTTCTGATTGCTCAATCATCATCACTAGTTTGATTGATTAAATTGATCTTAAATGTCAAAAAACTAAACGCCCTTAATCATATTGAAACAACATGATTGATATATGTGCATTTTTCAAGTTATGCAGTAGTTGGATTTCTTCTCTCGACTGCAAAGTTAGGAAACGTCGAAAGGTTTTCAAAATCCAAGTGAAAATACATACCGTCTTTTTGTACCATTCTTTTGTAAGGTATATGAAGTAGCCATGGAGGACCAAGAGGATGTAGACGAGGACCAGAAGATGATGTGCATACCAAAACGCGTTAAATCCTGCTAAATGATGGAACGGCCATGGCAATTTGATGACGTTCCTTCTAAACGAATGTGTAGCCAATGTGAAGGAGAAAAGCATGAAAAGTGTCATCAGAATGCCTGTTACACCTGGAATGGATGCCACGAGGTCCAAGTAACTTGGTTGGTGGTAGTCGAAGTTGCTTCCAAGAAATGTCATAAATTTACTCTGTGGACATGTTGTTAGTTTCACAAAATTGCAGCTGGTATGGAAAAGTGCGTGAATAAACGTTGCTACAGCAATTCCCAATGCAATTATCTTATGGAAATTGATGTTATCATCAAAGGGAAATATTGAACCAAGGAAAGTTTCTCTGAGCTTAGTAAGAGTTCTTCTGCAGACAGGAAAAAGAACTAGAGCCATGTTGAACTTAAGAGTCTCTCCTGCACCTTTAGCGATGCAAACGCAATAACCCATGATCTGAAATGCTGATTTTCTTTTAAATTGTTGGAACTTCCAAGTGAAAAGTATCATGTTGATGCACAACCACAATGTTAGGACCCATATTCTTTTCCAGTTTTCTTGTATTTTTTCTGATGTTTTATAAAAGAATTTGCTTACTGGGGTCCTGTATTCTTTCGGAATCATGGTTTTCGCCAGTGTTTGTGATCTCTTCAGGGTTTTTTCCCCTTCTTCTGAACCCACCATCCCTCTTAGTAGAGCTTCAAGTTGCCACATCTGTTAAGTAGAAAATGAGAAATTATAGAAGAAAATTATCAATAGGATCATCCATTTTAGTCTAACACCACGCATTGACGCTCTTTCTCTAAACGAATTTTCATAAATTCATTTGTAATAAGTTCATATGGCAAAGCTAGCGGAGGTTTATCCATTAATATAATTATTGCAATGGAAACTAAAAGCATGACTATTTCGGGGTTCATAATCAAACCATCAAACGACAACAACTTTTTAATGCCATCCTTACCTCAATATATCCCAAATGATCAGGGTCAAGCTCTTCCATGATTAAAGCTGCGTATGTGGGTGCATGTTGCTTGAATTTTGACAATTTATTTGCCGAGGCACTCATCACTAGAACCTTTTTCAGAAAAAAAGAACATATTAAGTAGATAGATACGCGAAAATTGAAGGAAAAAAAGTTTTCTAAGGAAAATTTTCTCACCTCCTTTACCTCTTCCTCTGATAGTTTCCCATCACCATTCTTGTCACACCTGTGAAAATTCACCACCATTAGTCACTCGGAAAGACGGATTTTAGTTCTCATCTCCCATTGATTTAATCTCTTACATGTCAAAGAAAATATGAAGCCTTGCATCAAGAGATTGAGTTGATATGTCTTCCCAAAATCCTTTCACTTCATCTATTGTTATGCCATTTTCTGTGTTGATCTTCCTACGCCTAGCCAACGTATCAAATAACTCTCCAGCGAATTCCTTGCTTTCTCCCATTCCTATTATGCAAAACATAAAAAATGTTTGTTCTACTTTCTTCTCTAAATGAAACCAAGTTTATACGAAATGCTACAAGTTTGACAAAAATACCAATACAGGTCCCAAATTTCTCTCTGAAGATCCTCCCATTAACTGCATTTTGATTGAATCGTTTCTCCACACTCCGCCAGGCATCTCCCTCCTTCCCTGTTATCGAATACATAATTAAGTAAATAAAAGTTAAGACGAGACCATCACAGAATTCAATATGGTGAGATCCTGAGTTCAAATCAAACGACGTTCCATCATCAAAATGGATTCTTTACAATCAGGCTCGCATATAATTAAGTAGATAAAAAGGCTTACTCTCTAATATTTTTTTTTAAAAATGAGATGGTCACACAATTCAGTACCTGTGGTTGATCTATCAAGAAATCGTAAGCTCTTTAGCCCTCTAGTAGCGCCTGATTCCATCCGCCCCATTCTTGGTACAACACCATTTCTTCGTCTTGAAATGCTGAAATTTTTCTTGAAAGATTTTTGATTTGCAAGCTCTTGTAAACCATTTGCACCATTTCTATTCTCATGGATATCGCTCGTACTATCTTTTTCAGCATTTTCAAGAATCCATTTCACTGAATTGTCTCTAGATAAATCTCCATCGTCAATGGGCACCATACTATGTACTTCTCTTAGCTTCTTCTCTGTTTTTTCACAAAATTTTGATGAAAAATAAAGAAGAGTTCGTTAAATCAGTTGTTTGAAAAATACAATATTTTTAAAAAACCATAGTGTCCCCCACTAAAAGAGCATGCCAAAATGAAACATTTTATTTATTATTCATTAGACAAAGTCTTATTTCTGTTTAGTTTCTTTTAATTGAATACAGCCAAGGAGTAGTTGGATTATAGTTTAGTCACTTAAGGACTGTATTTTTATAATTAGATACTGCAATTTGTTCATTTTTCATTAATCTGAATACAATATTATAATTGTAGGCACATTCCTAGCAAGCTAGAGACAGATCATATGATTAAATTTGTTCAATATTTAATCAATGTTCCAATTTTTACTTAAAACAGAAATTCTAGGGAATCTTTTAGACGTGGTTCGAATTCTTTAATTAATTGAAACGAGTAGTCATTAGGGATCCTTACTTGTAAGCACGTCGTCCTCCACCTTGTTATTTTTTTTTGTTTTTGGTGATCTTTTTCTTTTTTATGCTTTTGGGTTTTTGAATTTTTCTTAATAAACAATAATCCCAACTTCAACGTGGTATTTACAATTCTATAGAAAAATGAAAAAGATATTATTTTGACAACTCGATAGACTACAGGCAAATAACTACTACTCTTTGACAAAAATATGCTGAGCTAAAACATGAAAAACTGTAGTTTTGGTGTTCAAACAGAATAGTTAGGGGTCAAGGTCGATTTATCAATGTGACGTTAAGTTTGTAAGAATCTTATTTCAAAGCAATATTATAGTTTTTGCTTATCTGATTTTTTTTTTATTGGTTGTGCAAGAAGATGTGATTTCACTTTGAGTGTATATACCCAAGCTTAAGATGAATTTGAACACTGAAAATTTCAACGCGATTAACTAGTTTGTATCAGCTCATACTTACTTATCAATTCACACGAAAGCTTAAAGATAGATATGTAACATAAGCAGATTCATTTAGCTTTATTAAGTGGTGTGCATTTTAGTGACTTTATGTGTGCAGATATCATTTGGCATTAAAAAAGTCCAAACCTCTTGTTTTCCAAATGGACCAGAATCCCTTCCAAGCCAATTCCTAAATTGGAATTAGAAACTATTTCAGGATATATGAAACTTACCAGGTAAGAAGATTAGAAACTCTTATCGCATCAAAAGAGACACCTCAAAGCCACTCATTTACTATATTCTCATGAATCTCCCAATTTTGTTTCCTACAAGAGGTCAAACAAATGAAACTCTTCCCAATCACTACAAATAATTTAAAAAATAGGATACACTAACATCAATTACATGGAGATTTTCTTTCCTTTTTTTCCATTCTTCTTTCTTGGATATGGTAACCCACATTCAAACTCCCCCTACTCAGAAGCCTAACAATGGCTTCTTCCACTTTGCTCCCTTGATGACTCGAACCCCCAATTATAATTGGAGGTGGAGGGCACTTACCACTAAGCTATCCCTCACTCGTCCATGTAGGTAAATTCTTATGTACATGCTTTTCTTCCATAATCCTAGTGTCTAATTTCTATAGTACTAATTAATAGTAGTGAGAGGAAGTCTTGAATCTCTCAGTGAATGAGCGTCATCTGCAATATGTTTTACATCTCCATTTGCTTGCTTCTGTGATTTTCCATCCCAAAATGATTTCAACAACTCCTCGAAAGAAGGAGTTTTGAGCTCTTCAATGTAACCAGCACTTGGTATACTGAAAGCTCTCTTTTTCGGTGTAGAGCAAGATGGTTCGTCGACCTATTACAAGTGACAAAAATTTGGAAAAAAAAAGTACATTAATATAACATCGCAAGTACATGAATAATGTCATTTAAACAGAAGAAATACAGATTTTCTATCATATGACGCGATGTCCTTACCATGTACTCTTGTGAAAGACATTGTCCTGCGTGATCTGTAATCTCAACAACCTTGTGGTGGTGTCCACTCTTCAATTCTCTCAGCTCTCCACAAGAAGGAACAATCATGGAATCAAGATTCCCACAAGCATCACGGTCAAGTTGTAAAGAATCTGCAGAATTTAATTTAGTTAACTGGATGATACCAAGCAGCCAGCAAAAGTCATTAATACATGTGTAAAAAACTTGATAACGTACTGTCAATGGAACAGAGAAGGCTTTTGCTGGCAACATCAGTGTCTTCAAGAGTAGATGACACACCAGACGAAAACTGTGCACGCAGTTCTTCATTGGCATTCATTCCTTCACTAAAAAGATGTAGAAGCTCACAGTAAATAACAAGTAAAATATTGGAAATATGAGAGAAAATCCTTGAATAACAAGTGCATCAACCAACCTAACAATTTTATCCATAAACGCAACATTTCTTTCCTCTAGACTGATCAAAGAGCGTTGAGCATTCGTCCATTGTTCAGCACCCAATTTTGCCTTTTGCAGACTGCGTAGTACATATCCAAGTAAGCAGTCTGCTTAAAGCAGAGAGGCCAAGAAAACTCACATACGAAAAGAACACACAAGTTCTCTTCAGAAGAAGTGATATGAGATATGCTAGGAGGACATACCAATTCTGTAGCACCTTCTCCATCTCTTTCTTTCCCTTTTCCACAGAAGCAGTATCCTCAAGATAATGGCATTCAGCCTTTCCCATATAATTGGTCCATTCGTCTTTGACTGAATTAGTTGAATCTTGCATGGTTGACATCTCTTGTTTTAGTTTGCTGGTTCGGTCGTAAGCACTTTCTCGGAGGTCATTGATTGCAGTTTGAACCTAGAGAAAACCAAGTAAAAGATCCAATTAAGCTTTCACAGCCTAAAGTAGAAAAAGTAAACGTCAATGATTGTCCTCCTAGATCCACAATACATTTTTCTTGTCAATTATAAAAGGAGTACTAGCGCTAGAAAAAAAGTTCAAACATAAACTAGGCAAGGTAAAGGAAGGCCACACATTTATTTATATCATTGTTGTCTTCAAAGCTAAGCTTGACTATATAAGAAAATGCATGTATTTTTGCCATATTCATCAATCAATGAAGTTACTATGCTTTTGCCTAGTTTTAGAAATCATGGAAATTTTAGCCGCAACTGAGTGCCTTTCTTCAACTGGTGAAGCAAATTATGATGCATTTATATGACTAATAAATGACCATACCAATTTTTTCTTCCTAGCATTTGATCCTTCAAGAAGTTCTGCCACTTTCTGCAAGATTTGCCTCTCCTCATTGGCAGCACATTCCTGTAAAATGTGAATATCCATATAAAATGGGGCTAACAAGCATATTGACCTTCATGAAATGAGAGAGATGCTCATGGCTAACATCATTACCTCAAACTTCTTTTCAAGTTCAGAAAACTTCTGGTCACTGACAGTCAGTGCATCTTCAACTATATCGCCCAATTGGGAGACATGTGTATCCAAAGTCTTAAAGAAGTTGCCAGTAATTTGAGAAAATGACCTTGATGTTGTGATTGTCCTGCAGTGAGCCTATAAAAAGCATCCTAACATTATCACACACGTTTGGGAAGGAAAAAAGAGGGATATACAGAGGGCAACTGAGGGGAGAAGGGGGAAGAGCTCACAAATAGAAACTACTGATACCTCACGTTGTTGTGCTGCAAATGCAATTAGTTTCTCTTCCTGGCTGTGAAGACTCTTTTGAAGATCATTAACCAAGGTATTGGCCTCTAAGGCGATCTCCTCAAAAAACTACATTTCAAAACAAAAAATAGAGATAAGCAGAAAATACCTGGGATTTCTCAGAGAATTATAAAAGAAAGCATACCTCTCGGAGAGCAGATGAATGGTTAGAAACTTCAGTGTTTAAACGGTCAAAAGTTGAGTGAGCATTGCCATTGAGCTCCCCGGCCAAACCATCTAAAGTTTTGATACCAGAACCAAACCTGATTTTCAAATTGTCTAGGAGACCTCGAAGCTCCTCCATAGCCTGAAAAGTACACCAAAAAACCCGTACTGATTTACTGATCAACATTAGTGCAAGACTCTTAAAAGTACATAGTTTTGAATGTGTTATACAGAAGCGCTTCTGAAATTTCTCTAGAAGGGTCAATTGCTAAATTTAACACATCATTGTCCAGGCTATTGCAAAGGGTCAATTGCTAAATTTAACAAGTCAAGGATAGGATGCCTAAATCTTTGCGCACATGACATCATGAAGGCAATAAATTATGTAGGAGCATATATAGAAGTAGTCTTTTCCCAGAAACATTGTAGAGTGTCTTCTTTAACAGGTTTGCAAAGTCAAGTATACCTCAATCTTGGTAGACACAAAGGACTGCATGTCTTCCTCCATGTGTTTGAGTTGTTGCTCTTGTTGTGTGGCTGAGGAAGCAACACTCTTATGCAGAACTTCAAGTTGTTGAGTTAATTGGGATTGGAACTTTTGGATGAGAACTTTGTTTCCATGTTCTATTTTGTCCTTGCGCTCTGAAATCAACCATAATCAGTATAGCGGGTGCAAGAGCCTTTATTTTGAAAAAAGAAAATCATTACGGATTTCAGGTCGTTGACCTACCAATCTTTGAAAACAAGTTCGAGACATCTGATGCAGCATGTTCCAGCTCAGCTCGAAGTTCAAAGGCCTGCTCAACCAGTGATTTTTCTGGTGGAATACATACCGATTAAATATCTCATACAACTATTACAAAAGGTAAAACGACTCCAAAGAACCCATAGACTCTCACGCTGTCTCCGCCAATATATTTGGTAATTCCTTTAAGAGAAATATGATCCCTACCCCCAAAATTATTTATAAGCATCACTAAAACCTTGCACCCCACCCCTAATATTGTTTGCAAGAAACACTTGAACCTTGCTTTATCCACCCACTCCACTAAAAAGTAAATCCCTCCCAAATTGCAAATGAAAAATCAAAAGAGTCTGCCTTGAACCTTGCTTTATCCACCCACTCCATAGGAAAAACATGCAATTTCAGCAGAAAGCAATTGCAAATGATTAGTCAAAAGAGTCTGCCTTGACCATGCACAGAGAATGTGGCTTACCAGACTTTAGAAGGTTCGTTATTAGAAATTCCTTTTCTCTAATTGTTGTAATTGCCAGCCTATGTTTCTCTTCGAGATCAGCCAAAGTATGCTGAGTTTCCTGAAGCTTTTTCTGGAAGACACAAAATTATAATTAATCTCCATGAGATGATCAACAAAAGATAGCTACTGAAATTAGGAGGGGTCCAAACTCCATATACCTCTGTCTTGTCAAGTTTGACACTCAATTCAGTGGTCAACAACTGCTGAGAATTGTATAGTTCCTGAAGCTCCATATGTTGCTGTTTGCAGTAGGCAAAAATGTAATGAGGTACGAGTTCTGGATGATTAATTAGATTCTAGCTGAGTAATTAAATCAGTAGCATACCTTGTCTTTTGATTCTGAATCAAGTTCCATCCGTTCTATCTTTTCAGACATTGCCTAAGAGAGAAGAAAAAAACATATTGACCACATATAAGAAAAGATTACATGATAATCCAACCAATCAATGGATCAGTGAGCAGGGCCTAACCTTTTTCTCTGCTTCCTCTTGGAGATATCTATCTCTTGGTATGTAGATACCATTCTTCTCTCTTGCAGCGTACACCTCTGTTGCCATTAAAATGGAAATTTATGTAATCAAAACATTTATAATTTAAAGAACTACCATCCAAGATAGAGTTTCATGCAGAAAGAGAAGAAGAAAGCAGTACAAAACCTTGCTTCAGCCTTTCAATTTCAGAATACAAGTCCTTCATCAATGCAGATTTCATCATCTTCTGGTTAATCTACATAAAGCAAAAGAAAAAGTTAACCACATTTGGACTAAAATTCTTTTAAGATTGCTTGATTGACCAGAAAACTGACCTCTGGCTTATTTTTTATGTTTTTGGCACGATGAGCGTAATCCAAAGTGCTGAGTGTCTCTTCCATGGAGTGAATGGAGGGTGATATTGTCGCAATAATGCATGTCTTTGTTTTCCCTCCCAATGAATCCCTCAACAACCTTGTTATTTTGCTCTCCCTGACAAACCAACAAAT